GAGGAGGAGGGGGCGAAAGGACTCGATCGCGTTGAGGGTTCCTGTTGTTGCTGAGGTGGTGGTCTGTAGAAAATGTGCACCTAAAGAAGACGCGCGTCACACGCCGATTGCTTGGCAGAAAATGACATTAAAATGTAGAAAAAAAAATAATAATAAAAATAAAACGGGCAGGAGCGGCCGCAGCCGAAGCAGCTGCTTCACGAAGCGAAGTCTTGCAGAGGAGGTGGCGTTGGGGAGGGAGAGGGGGGGGAAAGAGGAAAACACACATAGACGGGCGGGAGCGGGGAAATGGAAGAGGGAAGCTAGAAGAGGAGGCGGGGGCGGCACAGGCAGCAACAGGGATCGGGGGGGGAGAGAGAGAGAGAGAGATGGAAGGGGTGCTGGGGAGACGAAGACAGAGACACACACACACACACACACACACACACAGAGCAAGGAATTGCGCGGCCGCGGTAGCACCGGGGGGGGGAGAGGTTTGCTGTCTGCAAAGGCGGCGGCGGCGGCGGGGGGGGCCCTCGCCCTCGGTGCTTGTCCGCTGCTCGTGGGCGTCGTAGGGTTGCGGCTCCCGCGGTTGCGGCTGCCCCCGTTCTGCCGGTCCACCGACTCTGCTCGTGGCTCGCGCTCTTCCCAATGGAACGCCGCCTACTCCCCTCAATCGCTACATTGTTGACATTCGCAGGCTGACATCATCCTCCTCCCACTGCCGCCGCCGCCGCCGCCACTACCAACTACTACACACACACACATACACACAGATACGTATAAGCCAGACGTACACCCCGCCTTCTACCCCATTCACAACAACGTTGCGCAAATGGCGTAGCATCCTCTCCCCAGGCCGTGCGGATGCGGATATTCAGGCGTACACTCGCTTGGCGAATAGCAGCTCCTGCGTCGACATTCCTCTCCGAAGGGCTTTTGTCGCATGCGCACATCTTCCCCGATCTCTCCCAACATTTCTCTTCTCCGTCGGTCCCTTCCTTTTTCTCTCTCTTCTTTTCCCCCTCCCACCCCTCGCTTCTGTTCGTATGGAGTCGAAAGGCACACTGGGAATTGTAGTCCTTGCCCCCTCCCCAATTCTGTGCGTGGAGATTTGAAGGTGGAGGCGGGGGGAGGAGAGCAAGGGAAACTCTTTTATGATGCCGCGCTGTCCCAATGGAGCAATGAAGCCGCGGCAGCCGCAGGGTCCGTGAGGCCGTTCGTGCTTTGTAGAGAGTGGATAGTAACACACACACACACCCGGCTGGTGGGTGACCTTTGGTCCTTTAAAGGAACAGACACAAACCATAATATTTATCAATATCCAAGAAGAGGGGGAAAATAATTAATGGAATTGAGGCAGACTTGAAATCCCAAAATAATTAAGTGGGAATCACTACTAAGGGATACAGATTACAATAATGTAGATGGGGATAATTTTTAAAATCATAAATGCTTGCAGATGATTCAATTGGTAAGGGTGAATAGAATATATATTCAAATATTAAATATTTGTAAAACACCTTGTAAGGTATTGTTCCAAGTATATGCATGTATATGGATACTTATACATATTTATCTTCAAATCTTTACATGTACAAGTGTGTTTTCTTTCTTTCTTTCTTTCTTTCTTTCTTTCTATCTATCTATCTATCTATCTATCTATCTATCTATCTATCTATCTATCTATCTATCTATCTATCTATCTATCTATCTATCTATCTATCTATCTATCTATCTATCTTCTCTGTAAATAATCTTATGCATTAGCACCAAGAAGAAATCTGCATGTCCTATCCCTGCAGCTGTGTTTGGGACCGAATGATGTTTCACACTCTTACAACCACAATTCCCATCATGTAAAGAAGGGATGGGGAATGTGTGGACTTTCAGATGTTGTTAGATTCTCTCTCTCTCTCTCATCAGCCCCAGCCAGTATGCTGAAAGCTTGAGCTGATGGGAGTTGTACTGCAACATCTGGAAGACCACACTTTCTGTCTGCCCACCTTAAAGGTTTAAGGCTAACAAGACTGAGCAAGAAATTGTTTTCCTGTACTTTTTCTTTTTCTTGCCTCTGTGCAAGCATTTCTACCGTCTTATCTTTTGTTGTTGTTCAGTTGTTAAGTCGTGTCCGACTCTTCATGACCCCATGGACCAGAGCACGCCAGGCCCTCCTGTCTTCCACTGCCTCCCGGAGTTTGGTCAAATTCATGTTGGTAGCTTCAGTGACACTGTCCAACCATTTCATCCTCTGCCGTCCCCTTCTTCTCTTGCCTTCACATTTTCCCAACATCAGGGTCTTTTCCGGGGAGTCTTCTCTTCTTATGAGAAGGAATTACATTTCCTCTCTTTTAATGCTTCTGGATGTGTTAATTTTCAGATATAAGTAGTACGTGCACAATGAATAATCATTCACAGATTATAATGTGCATACTGCAGACTTAGAATTATTGCCATTCTTATGTATCTACAGTTCAGTGAGTTGGTTAGACAGACTCTTAAAGGAAAAAACAGATGTGGGACCAAATGCTGCTTCCATCAGCTCTAGCCCACAACATCAATGGGGAAGAATGGTGGTGGTGGTGGTTTGCAATCCAGTAATGTCTAGAGTGCAGCACTTAGCATTCCTATGTTTTAATCAAAAGAAGATTGGTTAAAAAAATAATGAAAAACAAATTTACGAAAATAACATTGTGTATGAGAAAAAGAATAGATTCTTTTCTTTTTACCTGTGGAGGAAAGCCCACTTCTGCTGCAACATGTGTGTCTCATCTTACAGTGCCAGCAGGTGGCAGGCACCATCTTATAAGAGGTACTCCCACCCATGTGAGGCATGGTTGTATATTTATGCATGCATGCATGTCCGTCCTTTATTTACTTTGCATCCGGCTCGAGGAGATGACCCTGTGTCTGATATCATCTTTCTTTTCTCCTTACTTCATCATCTTTGAAAAACCCAGAGCTATGTCCTGGTTTCCAAGCACCAATAAATGATACCTTAAGTAGTCTTCCCCATTGAGTTCTCAAGTGTCAAGAGTTCCCTGAGTGAGATTGACCTTTCCAGACCCTACAGCATGCACTTTTGCGCATACACACTGTGTACAGAATAAGAAAGTGGAACCATTGTCCAGATAAGCCACACAATGAAGCTGCCCATTGAATTGGTGAAATTGCTATGCAGTACTGTATTCAAGTAGGTAAGAAACATCCCATTCACAACAGCAGTAATGTTGCAAGGGTTATATTAGCATAGCCTAAATTGAGGATGATCATGGGCTAAAACTATTGCATGGGGTTGAATTTCTGGTAAAATTCCAGAGATCCACAGAGAATAGCCACAAATTTCACAGAGCCTACTTCTTTCTCATTAACTGGCACTTAAAAGTCTCAATAATTAATTCTGAGATATTGTAAGAGGAAGAATAAAAAAATTCTTTAATTACAGTTGATTGACATTACAAACTTGTGTATACTGCTTTCTTTACTGCACACATACTTAGCAACCGACTGAACAGATCAATAGCAAGCAAACAACTGCCACCAACCTACGAAAGAAAGAGAAAGAGCCAGCAGAGAGACAGGGCTGTTTTTGAAATCAAAGGCTGGAAGGAATGATTGGTTAGTGTTGGATAGATAATCACCCCAGTCCAAAAAAGTTCCTACCAGTCATACAACAACAGGAAACTTGTGAGGTGACAAATAACACCCCAACGAAAACCAATGAAAGGGAATTCTTGATCATAGGTAATGTAAATTTTTATCTGTGGCCCTTTAGGTGACTTCCAAAGTAAATCAGTTGTCTGTGTGAGTGAGGGCAAGGCTTTCTTGGATTTCACACTTGGATACAGTCTCTTCTGAGTGCTGAGAAGAGACAACTTCACACCTATTCCACTGTATTGTGTGCTCCTCAACTATGTACTATAGACGATTTGATGTTACTGTAGTTCCACAAATGCTCCCGATATTGTCCATTATTGGGTGAAAATGATCTCATATATTCATTAATTGTACTATGCTGTTTTTGACATGGACAAAGAAGAAATGATGTAAATTCCATAGATTTAAATGTCTCTGCTCTAACTGAGATTAACATGGTCTTGAGCTCAATATTAGGCTGTTTTGTTTGAATAGTGTGAGCTTTACATAGAAATGACAGAGACTTAGAAGTGGAATGTTTGTATTTTTAATGTTTTATTACTTGTAGATGAGCCTGAACTGCTTCTGGAAGGAAGGTAGAATGTTTTTTTAAAAAATAATATTGCTACTATTATTACTAATACTAAAAATGGTAAAGTTGTAAGAACTTGACACCTATTACTATTTATGCTGGGCATATCTGATAATAACCAAGTTTTAGATGGACATTGTCACATACAGCACTGATGGTACCTGTCTGTCATGGGTTTGGAGGGAAAGTTCCATCCTATGGGAGTAGAAGGCGGGACATCAGGGGGGAGGAGCTGTACTGTATATATATTTGGAGCTTGTGTGGAGAGTGAGGAGTTGGAGTCTGTGTGTCAGACTGGGTACAACTGTGTGTCAGTTAGTACATACCTGATAGGTTCAGGTTTCTATCTGGGTAGCCAGAACTGATAGGTTCAGGGTCTGTGCGTTACCTTAAAGGGTTCTGTGGGAACCAATCTGTTATATGTGTATGTTTGGGGCTATGCCACGTTACATTATCCTATTTACCTGATTCTTTTATTTATCCTGTTTGTTGTTTGAATAAACCTTGTTCTTTTATTTATTAAAATCCATTCCTGGTCTGTGTGACTCCTTACAGGGAATGGTTGGTGGCAGCATAATTACAGGGTGGCATACTCCAGTAGGTCTGGGGTTGCCACATTGATTGGTGTCCAGCGTGTGGGATACGATTGGTCCAGTTGTCCAGTGGTCCAGCAAAGCCTTGGCAAGTGTGCCCAGAGCAAGGGGGGTCTAGTCAGGGACAATCTGAGGGCGCGTAGGTAATCTTCTAGGCTTACCTCACGGGGAGGTAGGCTAGTGGAAGAACGTGCACACTCAGATTGGGGGGACTAGATTAGGGAGCTCTGAGGCAACCCGTTTTGGCGGGAAAGGGCTGAGGCAAAGCTGCGTGAAGTAACAGTGATCTAGCCTGTCTGCTGAGAGGCCTAGCAGAGGGGGGTAGACTCTGGCTGGCTACAGTTGCAAGTTAGTGCTGAAGAACAGCAGCAAT